CCTACCACACTTTACGTTATCGATTCCCTTAATCTCAAGTGCTTGGATGAGGTCCCCCCTCGCTACCTTCTCTCAAGTGAGTAAAATTCCTACACTTTTAAACGCTTCTCATATGGAAGTCCCCTTACCTCTTTGATCATTCCTGTAGCCTCCCTTTGGACCCTCTCTAGCGCCGCGAATTCACCTTATTTGTTGGTCTCCAAAATTGAACGCAATACTCCAAATGGCGTCACACCAGCACCGCATTTAACGGAAGAATAACGGGCGAGTTCCTTCTGTGGAAAAACGTATAAATCCTGTCACATTTAGTTACCGTCGCTTGCGCGCGCGAGGAGAACTTGAGTATCTCATTTATAGTAATCCCTATATCTCTCTCCGTTCGCCTCCTGCTTATCGACGCCGAACTCGTCCAGAAACCTATCGTTGTTTTGACCGATGTGAGGAACCTTACACTTAAACCGCATGAGCCATTTCTTACTCCACTCATCCGAAAACTGTCAATCCTGCTCGGCTCTCACCTTGCCCTCCTCCCTCCTGATGGAAAAACATATTTGTGTGGCGTCGACAAATATGCTGATTTTACACGCTAGGCCTTGATCTAAATCGTTCATGTATACCATAAAAAGAAGCGGTTCCAGGACCGAGCCCTGAGGGTTGACGGAAGTTCGTGTCACTTTGCGACACGAACTTCCGTCAACACTTCTCCATTTACCATTACCTGCTGATCTCTTTCAATGAATTACTAATCCAGTTACTCGTTCTACCCTGGTTCACGTACGCCTCCAATTTAGCCCGCAACCTCTTCTGAAGAACGGTATCGAAAGCTTGCGCGAAATCTAAATAGACGATGTCCACGGGATTCTCGTTATCTTTCAGTTTCATCACCCAATCGTGAAACTCGAACAAAATGATAAAACTATTTCGTCGCCTCCTAAAGCCGTGCTGAGAGTCCCGGATGAGCGCGTTACCCTCGAGGAAGTCTAAAATGCTATCCATGCTATTCCCCGGAATGCTCGTGAGACTTACTGGTCTGTAATTACCCGGATTGCTCTTATCTCCCTTCTAATAGATCGGTACGACATTCGCTAGTCGAATATGAGGTATTGGTGGTATCCCCTGGAGAAAAAGCCTTCCAATCAAGGAACAAGTGTATTTGAAGCTCTCTTGGCCTTTGTAGCAAGGGGCAAGAGTTCGAAACTAACCTAGTGTTACAGAGTGCAAGCTCCCAGTTTGCTTGAAAAGTGAAACCCTGAACGCGAGCCAATTCCATTTGTCGGAGAGGGACGTTACAAGAATCCCACTGGTGAATACCGTATCCTCAGAGCAACTGTTAGTCACCATGGGAATTAAGAGGGAGATACAGGTTACAGACCGGTGAAGTTTTTATGGGAGAGAAGATTGTACAGAATGCCCGTATCAGAATGCGTTCGTAAGTTTTCGAGCCTTGCAGCCTATCGAGTCTACGTTAGACCTCACACCTGAAGTCCAGGAACATCCTGGAAACCATGCATCAATCCAATGTACGTAGGGTCGTTCAAACTTTGTGGATGTCTGAAAATAAAGAGGACCTACCTTGGAGGAAGTCTCTAACATTATCAGGCAATATGAGTTGGAGGCAAACACGAAGTACGCAGCATTTGACATTGACTCTACCTTCAAGAAGAATTGCAAGCCCAGGGCTGCTCCTTCGTGTAGCCCTCGCCTCGATTAGCCTGGAACCGAGATGGTTGCAGTGTTTCTATCAGAAATTTCTCATGAATATACCTCCTGGAATATGTTCAATGCATGTCCAAAGCAAATATTTATTTGCATAGAGCAGCGCTTCCCAGCCCAGGGGTCGCGACCCCATTTGGGGTCGCCAAGGTCATGTTTGGGGTCGCGAACCGGCAACTAAATGCCATGTTATGTTTTTTCTTTGCGATTTTAGCGCATAGGTGAGGAAGCCTGTCGAACTTCGGCCAGTGCTTGGGGTCCCGAATGGTACGATCGTGATTTTTGGGGTCGCGCATGAAAAAGGTTGGGAAGCCCTAGCATAGAGGATGCTCGCTGAACACTCTAATGCAGGGGTGCTCAAAGTGGATGTTCTCTAAGGCACTTTGTGTGCTGGATGCGGCCCGCGGGCCGCACTTTGGGCATCCCTGCTCTAATGGATCGCCACTGGTGAGAAACGCAGGCAAATGAGGACACACCGGCTGAAGATTGCTGCACTTACATGAGAGTAGACATTATCTCTTGATGGTATGGCCTGCTTTCTCTTACTTTCCCATGCAAATGTTGTTTTACAAGCTGAGGACGCCAGGTTTATACCTCTTGTTGGAAGAGCGTGGCATTTAGCCAAACTTCAGCAGTCAGGGCAGTCGAAGAAGAGACAGATTGTAGTTGTTAATGGGCCGTTTGTTTTTCTGTTGTAAATTTGACCAAAGTACAAGTAGGCTTACGAGAAATCAGGAACAATTCATCGTGAACACGCTGTGCTGCCGCAGAGCAACACGTGCGGAAAAGGGCAACAAAAAGCAGATGATAAATATGGGGGCGGACTTAGGGTTACCATATTTCGGACAGTCCAAAAGAGGACGCTTAGAAGTCAGACGGAAATTTGAAGGCGAAAAAGGTGGACATGTCCAGGTAAAATATCCGGATGTATAGTAACCCATAGGGATGCCTTCTTCCCGGACGGAAAGCTAATAAAGAGGACATGTCCGGGAAAAACCGGACGTATGGTAACCCTAGGCGGACGTGTGGTCACGTGACCTGAGCAAGAGGCCTTACAAATATCCTCCCCCCATCGAAAAGCTCAGAGAATATTTAAACGGGGATAAAGTTAATTTGGAAACACTACCGTGACCCTATGATGTTAGACCAAGTTTTGGGAGATTGTGAGACCGGGACTCGAAACAAACCAGAACAAGGCCCTCGGATTTATTCAGGAAATCTTTACATTGAATTTCATGTCAGACGACCCGCGAGGAAGGAACAATGAGTAACAATTTGGATGTTTTGGAACAATTGAGGGGAACCGTTGATGTGACTTACACAGACATTCTATAGAGGACAGAAAGTGAAAGAGGGATAGTAAGCATTTTGTACCTGTCCTACCCTGGGTGCCTTGTCTACTGTGCTATGCTACGCTACTGTGCATTATGCGGAACACCTACCGCAGGCGCCTGAGCCCAAGCAACCCCTTCCAATTTTGTTTCCTTACTGTGATTGCCACCAATCACGAGCTGACGCAGAACAGTGCTGCATCGAGGATGAGCTAAGATTTTCTTGCCCTTTTCGAAGACCTTTTCATTGATATCTTGCGAGGTGAAACTGCCGCATTCTCCAAGTTGTGCAGAGATTTACTTTCTTTAATTTTTCTTGACTCAATATTTGGAGCTTACTTGGTGCTGTATGTAAAGCGTAGCTTAGAAAAAACCGAGTCAGTGTGAAAATCGGTTCGCATAGGAATCCATGCTCACGGCTATTGACTACTGTAGACAGTTTCCCGTTAGGTAACAACAAAATACTCACAATACTACCACCCACGTCAGACGACCGGACGTCATGCAAAATTATCTACCGCTATGGTACTTACAGAAGAAAATACATCAACTTTGAGAGTGGAGTACGAGCTGATTCACCATGACAAGATAGCACTTCCTTACAGGCTGGTTAGCAGCTGATCAACAGATTGATTTTATTTCGTAGAAAGACGGAAAGGAAAAATGAACGAACATCTGCAAAAATGTCCGAGGTAAGTATAGTTGGTTTAGTACACATAGACCCTTTTTTCTTCAATTAATATTGGTAGTATTGGGGAATTCGTGAAAGGATCCATCTTGTATACCTTTTCCCGTCACTTTTAGAAAGGCTGTCACTGAAATATTTGCTCTTTCCGCGTGGACCTCGAGAAAAAAATATTTTTTTTTTTTGCAGATAGACCACTTTTTCTTTCAGCCCCTCAGTTCTGGGTTACCATCTACCTCAGAACTTTCCTGCGAAGTCGTTTTATTTTGAAGGACTCCACGGTTGGCCTTTGGTATGAGGCACATGTGCCCCTGTACATAGTGCAAATTCACCATTGGCGCCAAAACGTGACTGTATGCATGAAGCAATGATGGATGCCACCCTCAGTTTTACTTCAATGATGTCTTCCATATTGGCGTCGTTTTGGACGATAGGGGTTTTGACGCTTCGCCCTTCTGGGGTGGCGTTGGGAGTCACTTTGCACAGGGCGCCGAAACAGCTAGGGCCAGCCAGGACTCTACGTTTCCTTTTTCCTTTTTCGGATTCTGATAGATTTGGACCCTCATGTTTTGATCTATTGGCCTTGCTCGGCGATGCAAGCCTTAGCCTCGTTTAAGTATTCCGATCACCTTGGAGTTTCCAGCCCATTGGACGTGGGATTTCCTGTTACTTTTGGGCGCGCATAACTATTGCATTTTGCTCTCCGCGGGGAGGGGAGCGATACATGACCTAAAGTTCTTCCCACTCACTGGATTGTAACTCATTACCTAACTCATTGAAAGCAGGAATTTCCTTGACCATGTTTTAAAGGAACAGCGTTGTCGGGTTTTTGCAAAATTACGATACTGTACTTGAACTGTACTGTACATTCCAGAAAGATTTTCCTTGATGTTTTGTCGTTTCCATTTTTTGGCGGCGATGTTCTGACGCGCCTCTCTCCGATATCTATACAAGGGAAGCAGTGGCGTTGCGTTGGGAGGGTGGGGGGGGGGGGCACGTGCCGTCCCCCTTCCCAATTCAAAAAAAGAAGAGTTCTAGAAACAGTATCCCAGAGTTCCAGAGTTCCCTCCCCACTTATTCTATCCACGCCACGCTTATGATGGGAAGTACCCCAATTAGGCGTCGAAGTTGCCTGAAAAGGTATCGAACTCGAGTGGGTTGTGTAGCAGAACGAGACCCAAAGGGTATGGAGCATCTGTATTCTGCATATATCCACTACACGAACAAGAATCTTGTTTCCCAAGCCTCGCTCGCGCGGCCGCAGTAGCAAGATGACGGTGACGTCACATCTGGTGACCAATCACAGAGCGAGGCGGAACCTACGCCACGCCAGTTCTGCTCCTGGGGTGGTGAATCACGGGAGCGTCCATTTGCAATCAGTAGCCTTACTTTTGTTCGCCCCACTTCTCTCTTCTCCACCAACTTAAAGAAATAGTGAACTTTTTCTCCTTTTCCATCACCCATTTCCGACCTGTGAGAGTTTGAACTCATCCCAGTTCCTCAGTGCAAGGTTGGATTCCTTCTATGTTTGGTCTAAAAGTCTTACCATTTAAGTTAGGTTTAAGTATAACGTTAAGCCTAAAGTCCACACTGCTTTCGGATCGAATTCGTACATCCTTTTCGGTAGTAGAGAACGAAGAAATTGAAACTTCCAGAGGGTGTGCTTCACCAGATAATCCACGAAACCACTCATCTGGAAGAGGTCATTGCTTGCAATCGATGGAAGCGCAACTATAGTCGAACTATGGGACGAATTCTACACAAAAACAGTTAATGCGTTTAGACTGTTTCCAGATTGAATTCGTATTGAATTGAATTCGTGAATAGGAGCGCATATGACTCGCTTGCTGAGGCGAAACCTCTGGAAATGTGTGTTTCCTTCATTCAACACTATTGGGGGATGACACTAATTATGACCTCTGACGGACTAGGCCTAGGCCCACAAGATTACAAGATTAACAAAAGAATTTTTACCATCTATAACATGGGTTCCTGCTTGAATTAAATGCATATGATTTTCTAGGTTAAGGCTTATGTAACTTATGTTACTGGGGCCATATAACATTGCTGTTTTGGTTCTTTACAGCGCATGTCAATCCAGAACTTGAACACATTCGATCCCTTTGCGGATGCTGTCAAAGGCTCCGATGAAGGTGTCCAGGACGGTCTAGTTCACGTCAGAATCCAGCAACGCAACGGTCGCAAAACTCTCACCACTGTCCAGGGATTGTCTTCTGAGTTAGTTCCCTGTCTTCCTTCCTTAGTCATTTAAAATCTGCCATTTGTCTGTCCTATTCTTAATAGTCTTAGTTTTGGCAGTGTTAACATGGTCTTGACATAACAGCATGACAGCTGCCATTATTCAAAATCCATCCAACTCTGGATGTTTTCTTCTCTAATCAGTGTGATAGAGGCAGCTATCTTTTGTGATGTGTCTTAGTGTGACTTCCAGCATTCATTTCATGCTGTAGGTATTTAATATCCTTGAGATTACTGAAGTCTCCAGTCTTGGATTAAATGCAAAAGTCTCTTATTTGGTTTTCTATTCTCAGGGCTGTCTATGGTGCTGGTGCTAGGCCTGTAAACAGTTTTAATTATTTTAGGTAAAAAGAGGTCTGCTGCTCAGCATCAGACTGAAGGGTTTTAAAAAGCACCTTGTTGTCTTGTGAATGCTACCCCTACCTAAATGGTTAGATGGAAGATGACTGTTTCATTCTTCAGTAACTAAAGATGCACTGATATTAAATTCTGACTGATCCTCTTAAACTTATGATTACAGATATCTATGTAAGAAAGATTCATTCAAGGATCTGGTGAAAGTTAATCAGGAGCCTAGAGTGGGTCTAATAAATAAAAAAAAAATAAAAACAATTTAGCTTGGATTCAGGGTAAGCATGATCATACAAAACTTGTAACTTAACCTTTGGTGCAAAAACAAAATAAAAACTGGAGGGAAAAAGGCCTGCATCCTTTTAACTTTATGGTGTGGTTGTGAATATTCTTAAAGCTATGCCACTTGGTTTGCCTTGTGGCACTTGTCAAGCTCCACATGCAGATGGCTGGATATTGTCCATGTTGTGTTTAAAATATAAACACCTAGTGGAGAGCAGGGAAGGTGATGATGGCAGATGACTGGCTTCTGTCATCTTGCCATTTTCAATCATTAAGGCCAATTACACTCTCTTTCCAAACACTTTTATTTACTTCAGATAAGACATACTGTATAAATTATATAAATATCAGTTATTGGTACAAGTTCTGTCAATATCATTGCATCACTTGTAAATGGGTGAATGGGCCTATTACTCAGTAAACATTGAATGGGGGAATAAAGTGGTTCTACTGATAGCAAAGGAAGCTGGCACTGTCATGTAGCCATTGTGCCATTATCTTTGATAGAGTGGTAGAAGGCAGGTAATTTGGATGTATCAGTAAGACAAATGAATATTGCATTGAAGGCTCTTGTGCACCTCTTCTGAGACTGAGTGATGGCATGAAAAGCAGCCCTGCCACTCAAAAGTGCATCCCATTGGGAAGGCCTCCATGATCCTATGTCGTGCATGATCTCTATGTCCAATAGGTATGATCTGAGGAAGATTGTGAAGGCTTGCAAGAAAGAATTTGCTTGCAACGGGACTGTGGTGGAGCATCCAGAATACGGAGAAGTGCTCCAGATGCAAGGTGATCAACGTGAGAATATCTGCCAGTTCCTGACGAAGATGGGACTTGTCAAGCAGGAGCAGCTCAAAGTCCACGGCTTCTAGACAAAATAATCCCCATCCATCACCTTGACTCACATCTCTTTTGTTTTGCTTCTTTTTCACATTACTTTTACATCCTTCTGTTCCTTTTTAACACTCTCTTTATCATACCCTCAGAAAAGATGAGGCCTAGGTAGAATGTACATCAACCTGACGGACGTTTTTCGGGAATTTCTCTCGTGAAGTGTTCTATAGGCCTCTTTTTGTCTATTAAATTGTGCCTCACCACCTGCAAATTCTCGGTCATGGTCCTGAATAAAATGTTCACTTAAAGTGTTCTTGTTTTGACTAATCACTTTAGCCAAAGATGATGGAAAATTTCATGTGTATGCTTTCAATGACTGGAGGATTTAGTTTCAGTTTGTGTAAACTTAATGAATTTGTGCTTGAAAGCTGCATCTGTTTATATTGCCCAAAAATGTCTGCTGTAAGTAAGCCTCAATGCTTGAACTAGTACCAGATCAGACTGTCAGTACTACATTGTGGATGGGTGGGAGATGATACATACTACTAAGTTAAAAAACAGTCTCAAGATGTAGGTCACCATTGCCAAACATTGCATAGCCAGTGAAAAGCAAATATTGGTGTGTGTAGCTTGGGTCCCACCCTATGTGCTATCCAAAAGCTCATGTACTGAGACAAGTGGCAGTTATTGGATTGTGCTACATTCAACCCTTTGGGTGTCAGGTGGCAGTCAGTATCAAATTGGATCCACCTTCACAGCACACAGGTAGCTGATCTATTACTTGGCAGACATTGGCACAGTTGTACTGCCACATCCCCTTTCTTCCTGGATCCTTCACCATGTGACTTCTACCTCTTCCTGAAGATGAACTGTGGTGGTGGCATTGAATGAGATAGCTAAAAATGGGTTCCAGTTCTGCTTTGAAGAACTTTACACACATTGCTGCAAGTGCTACACTATAGTGTGCTACAAGCTTGGGCCACTACTTTGAAGGTGAAACAGCAACAGTGCTGTAACTCACTGTGCAATAAGCCTTGTCTCATAACTTTTCAACTTACTTTATGCACCTACACTCTCTGGAATTTTGCCTCATTTATCTTTTTTCCTGTTGTATCTTGCGACCTGGTGCCCTTAGTCAGACATCACCTATTCGTATATCTGGTCCTGTCCAGAATACATTCCATCTGGCTGATATCTCATAGATGAAATATTCAGAAATGAAGGCCTGAGAATTATGAATTTCAGACTTCTACTACTCAATCAATTATACAAATGACCATTCAAGACACGTGAAAAAAGTGTTATGTTTACGCATTTTTAGATAAAGGTCAAATGACAGTCGAAGTCAAAGATCGATTCTATCTGATTGGAAAGAAAGTTCTCGGAATTTCTTGAATATCCAG